TTACCATTACTATATTTGAGCTCTGTCATTTTCTTATCTAAACACAAAATGGTAAAACAGTTTATTTTTGGAGGCTGAAGATGGTATGAAGCTCTGAGATATGAACTGTAAGACTAGAAAAACGCCGCACCACACGACACAGATTACCAAAGAGTTTTTCCACTTTATTACAAAAGGCTGTGTGTTTATATAGGTCTAAGGAGAGGTCGCAGGGCTGAGGTAGATAACAGGTCGCCCGTTTATTGGCAAGCTCTTCCATATGTCAGTTCCGGAGCCCAAGAAGCTAATTCTAATTGGGGCTAAGGCTTCCCACCAGCAGGGTTTGAACACTGGCGCCGGCAGGAAGGTTTTGCGCCAGTGAAAGAAACAAAGAGGAGAAGGAGGGTCGTTAGATGCCATGCTGGGGTTTTTCTCTGGGATGCGGCTGCCGTTATGTTTTCCCAACATGAACCAACTAAAAGTAAAGGCAGAAATGCATATTTCTTATGGATCTTTTTTAAACCTACACTCCTCTGCTCTCCTGGCTCTAAGGAGACACACAATTTGGTATCCAATGCTTGAACGAAACAGACAGTGAATACAGCAAGGTCCATGAAGTCACAAAGTCACAAAGTACAACTAGGCCATGAAAAATAACTAGTATAGGGGGTTAATTCACACGGTAGTTGAACTGAACAGTTTATTACCTGGTGGGTCAATGCTTCTCTCCACTTTTGCCCTCTTCCATTTGGTAAGAGATAAACTTCACAATCTACTAGGTTATAAAACTGTTCTTGCAGATGACTATAAAAACTTAAACAAACTCAAGCTTCCTGATCACTCAATGCAAGTCCAAATATCTTGCTAGAAGCAAATTATACAATGTTTAAAATTAGTGTACATTCAAAACTGTTTCCTAAATTCCTGAAGCCTTCTAAAGTTGTATATTTCCTGCCTTTCTTCAGCAGTTTACTGAATATCTACAATATCCCATGCTCTGTTCTGGGCACTGGGAACACAAATTAACCTCAAATGGTCTCTGATCTTGAAACACATGTAAAAAGTCAAGAAGGTACTGTACATGTAATTGTAATAAAAGGGAGTTGGCATAACGGTGAAAGAAAACAGGGTGTGATGTTGGAACATGGAGTGGGAACAGGAAAGAGAGCAGGGAAGGATTCCTGGAAGAAATGCTGTCCCAGATGAGTCCTAGAGAAGAAGAGGTATTTATTCAGGGGAAGGAATGTTCTAGACAAAAAGAAGGGCAAATGCCTAAGGCACAGAGGCATGAACTGCATGACGGACACTTGCCCAGGGGTGAGGGTGGATAGGAGCACATGAAGAACCCCACGTGCTATCCTGGCGTGTGTGTGTGTGTGTGTGTGTGTGTGTGTGTGCGCGCGGGGGGGGGGGGGGGGGTGGGTCGGATCCACTGAAGGGTCCTACTAGGGGGTAACCCAGACAGATCTGGTGTTAGATTCATCACTCTAGAAACTTAAGGTACAAGAAAGCCATTCAGAAGGTGGGAGGAGCACAGGCAGGGCCATTTCCTAATTCCAGATGGATCACTATTAGGAATGCACCTATTCCTAAATACCTCCTCTAGAACCACTGTAGGGTTGCCATGAACAGATCGCTGGGCCCAGGGGACAGTCTGGAAACTCACGCACACCACTGGCCATTCACAGTCTCTCCTCTGGCGTGCCCCTGAATCACAGACTGTCCTGGACCCCTGCTGGCTGTACACCAAGCTGTCCCTGACAAACCATAAGGTGAGAGTGGGCAAGTGGATATCCTCCTCCATCCACATTTGCTTTGTAATTCAAGTTCTGGAACCAAAGCTACTAATACATCGTAGAACAGAGCCCGCCAAATACATGTCAGGTATGTTGCACCTGTGCTGAAGGACGGGAACAAAGAGACAAATGAGATACTGCACTTTTATTGCCTTTGCTTTTCCTAAGTGGTGAAAGCATTGTACTGCAGGTCCTGTTCCCAACCACACACGTGAGCCCTCGTCTCTGCTTTACCCTGAATCTTTTGCCTCCTCCACCCTCTATTCATCATCCAAAAAAGCCAAAACTGTGTTCCAAATATCCTTCTATAAAATGCTCTCTTTTTCTGTCATCAAAACCTTCTTCACAGCCACGTTGCCAAAATGTCACTTCCTCTCTTTCCCAGGCCATTTTCTTCCATAATAGCCTCTTCTCATGCCTTAATTCCTATAATCATCATTATTCACTTTGCTGTTATATTCCTTGCACTGCCATTCAGATCAGCTGGAACATCCTTTAAGCCCAGGCCAAGGTGCTGCACTCTCCAGTCCCACTGGGATGCTCACAACAGGGCGCCTGAAGTGTGGGTGAAATCAACCTCTCAGGAACAACAACCCCTTGGATGCCCAGTGAATTTCCCAACAGGTGTTTTCATCCGGGTAAGAGAAAGGCCCCAAAGGCCTTCTGTAAACAGACTGAGGACAGGTTCCAGATTGAAGAGGAAAATTACGCCTCAAGAGGGAGGAAGGGGAGGAAGGAGAGAGAGAGGTAAGGAAGGACAAAAAGAAGAATGGAAAGATGGAAGGATGGAAGGAAGAGGGAAGCAAGGAAGGCCCAGGTGAAGTTCAAGAAATGGCAGAGCCAACAATACGACTGACCCCCACATTACCAATGACTGAACTCCATTCCCTCTGACAAAGAATTCTCACCTTCAACTCAATACTTTTCTTTGCTAAAAGGAGGGCTAGCTGCCTGCACTATATTTCAATAACCCAGAATGCCTGGTAACGCTGAAGTCCTTCCTGCTGAACGGGAAACTGAATCACAGGAGCCTGAGACCAATACTTCTCCTCTCAGCAATGCGCAAGAGCAGCACTGGTGCACCACTAAGGCAGGTCAGGCTGACAGCACCCAGCAGCCCTGGAGAAGGTCTGCCCCGGAGGGAGTCAGACAGCAGGTGACCCACCCCCACACAGCCAAGGCGTACCACATCCTCAAGAGTGACACAGAACACCGGGCAGAGCACATCGCAGTTACCCCAGGAGGAAGGGTTATGATCAAAAACAATATACACAAATTAACCAAAGGGGCCCCAGCGCGAAGACGATGTGTTAGAATGACAGATGTGGTCAGCCAAGTGAAATGAACGACTGAAGCTAAAGAAGGTTCCTAACAGTTAAAAATGAGCATAAATAATTAAATACTTTAATATACACATACTAATCCATGATAATACCATGTACCTTATGAACACAAAATAATAGAGAAACTTAAAAGGTAAAGAGAGGAGTCAGGCCTTCTAAAACACTACTGCCAGCCACATCCAGTGGCTTCTCCTCTCAGCAATGCACAAGAGCAGCACTGGTGCGCCACTAAGGCAGGTCAGGCTGACAGCACCCAGCAGCACCCAGCACCACTAGGCACACAGATCCTTCTCGGGCTCATGACCCTAATTTGGAGCCACCATTATAAAAGGCTTTAAAAAGTGCAAAGCCAATCCCAGCAGCTCAGGAGGCTGAGCCGAGAGGATTGAGAGTTCAAAGCCAGCCTCAACAAAAGCAAGGCCCTAAAAACTTCAGTGGGACCCTGTCTCAAATAAAATACAAAACAGAACTGGGGATGGCTCAGTGGTCGAGTGCCCCTGAGTTCAATTCCTGGTACCAAAAAAGAAAAGAAAAGGTGCAAAGCCAAAAGCAATTACTCTAATTATCTGGGAAAACTCCTAAATTACTTCCACCCTTTACTAAAGCAGATGTATCCTCAATGTCCACAGCAAATCCATGAAAATCCCAGATTTGAAAAGAGAATGGAAAACACACAAAAATAAAAAACCTTGCCAGCGTTACACTGGACAACAGAAGGAGCTGCACAGCGTGTCGATCCAGAAGCAGAATTGGTTTTGTTGCTTTTTGATCTAAACCATGTCCCCTATAATTGCTGTGATTTACAGGCTCAGTGCCTTAACCGTGTGTTGTTTCCAGCCACAGGAAGGAACTGGATAGTCATTAAAAAAATTGTCACATAAATAGCCACTTACCAGCTCACCTGCGGAGTGTGATGCTGGACACTTGGAGTAAAGAATGCCAACTTTGTTTATTTTACTACCTGTGAACTCCCTAAGGAAAGGAGCAGGCTGGTAAATCTTCTCAACATTCAACCCTTTATTAACCACATTAGCAGATCAGGGAAAAGTCAGAGAAGAAAAAATAAATCATGGGGTAAAAAAAAAACTTTTTATAATCAACTTTGGGATGAAGGAGACAGATATTCAAGACATCTCCCTTCCTTAAAAGTACATGGGATTTGGGGCTGGGGTTATGGCTCAGAGGTAGAGCATCTGCCTAGCATGTGTGAGGCACTGGATCCTCAACACTACATAAAAATAAATAAATAAAGGTATTGTGTCCATCTACAACTAAAAATATTAATTTTTTTAATGGAATTTAAATTGCCTGAAACTGGTAGAACACTGAGGTCACATCCATGGGCTGTGGAGTCAAGGAACAAAGGTCCAGGCACTGCCTGGGTACCTCACTAGTTGTACATGTTATTTAACCTCTGTAATCTTCCATTCCCTCGTCTGTAAAACAAGGAAGTTAATACCACCTACCTTAGAGGTTTGTGAGTATTAAATGATATAAGTACTCAGTAAATTCTTAAGAAAAGTGTACTTTAGTATTACCAGAGTTTAAAGACTGGATGGAAATCAGCAGGGAAGTGGGGAAGTTATTATGATCAAGCATATTGCAAAGTGATGTAAAAGTCACTGTAAGAAACATCTGTTTTTCCAAAAACATCTAAGGAATGTGCATGTTCTTTAAATGCTTTTGTAAAAACCAGAGTCTTTAACAGAGACCTGTTCCAAGTAAGCAAGATGAGAGGTTCCTTTTCTTCCCATCTGAAAGGTTTCCCTCCCTCTGCTTTTGGAAACCCAGTTATCTGTCACAGACATAGGAAACCCTGGTTTGGGGTCATGGTGGCTCTGGGGTCACTGAGGCCAGAAGGGAAGGTCCAGCTCATCCTTACCTGTGCCCAGTGGTTCTTAAATACGATCATGCATGTTTCCGGGTCAACTCCCTGCAGACTCACAGCCTGCTGGAGTTTGCTTTCTGTTGAAACCGATGACATCATAAGCCTTCGAAGCCTCTAAGTCATATTTTATTTTCATGAAAATGTAGGAAGCAGTCACTAACTTCCAAGTGTCATATTAGAAATGTAACTTCTTCACTTTTTTATGGTCACCTTCTGAAACCTGTGAAGACAAGACAAAAGGTGCATCTCATTATGTTGACCTATTTAGGATGCTATGATGTTTAAGACCAGTGGATAGACATCCTCAAAGTCCAACACAGAAAAATATGTATAAAATATATTTATACTCAATCCCAGGGCTTTCCTATTTTCCTTCCCCTTGCTACTCAAAATATTAAATGATGGCATATAAACCATACGCATAAATTAAACAATTTGGAGATTTCTTCTCTCTACTACAACCAACCACAAACCCCAAGTTATTATTCTAAATCACTCAAGTTTCTATAAGCAAGAAATTATGATAGAAATGTTTATGGAGTCTCAAACACTATTAAAAGGCAAACTATGAGTTAACAGTGATAGAAATAAATGACTTAATGCAGCATCCAGACTCCCAGGCCTAACATGACCACATATTTTTTTAATCAATGCCTGTCATAATGAAGTTAAAAATATTCACATTTTATGGCTCCAAACTAAGTGAAGGTTTCTAATTTGTCTGAAAAACAACAGAATTCCAAGTAACCTTGGCAAATGAGAGATAGAAATGATCCATCAAAAACATGATGGTGCTTATTAGCTGTGAGAACAAGGTAGTGCACTTACAAATGAAGAATGAATTATGTGGATAAAACACAAAGAAATCCTGACTACAACAGGGGCAGGAGGGGGAGAAGATATTGAGGTCAGCGTGTACCCTGAATATGATCCAGCTGTGTGGTGCTTTTCGACAAAAGCAATAACATAGGAGTATTATCTCACCAGCTTGATCAGCCCAGGAAAGGACCAGGTAGAGTTCAGAATATTATTTCCTTTATTGTAGAGACTGGAAAGAGTTCAGGGGGGAAAAAAAGGTAATTGCAATTACAGAGCACTGGAAAATAAATGCATGATAAGAGTTAAGTTTGCAGACTTATGCCAAAGCAAGAGGAAAAAACGGTATTTTCCACTGAGTAATATGAAGGGTGTTACCAGAAGATCAGCCACGCCTCTAACAGTAAAATGCAAAAAGCAAGCGGGCCGGAGGCTAAGACCCGGGTTAGACTTGGGGTTAGGTTCTTTGCGGGGAATAGAATCCCACACTGGAAAATTCAGAACAAGTTCTTCTGGGAGTGAGGAATGAACACTAAAGGACCTTTAAAAAGACTTTTAGGACATAAGAACAGGAAACTTGCAAGAATTAACATATCTGGGGAAAGAAATATTGGCTTCAGAAGAAGATTAAGGTATACAGAGAGGAGGGCCTGCTGGAAGACCAGGCAAACCACACACTTGAGGAAAATGGCTTTCGTGTATTTTATTATTAAAATTGGCAAATTCCCCCACCTAGCATTCCTAATAATACAAACATGCTGTTCTCAATAAGACACTGTTTATTGCCAACCTTGCCTTTTGCCATTGAGAGGAATATTTTATTGGGTTCCTGTGGTGTTCTGCAAATCAGGAGTGCCCCTGACCCCATGCACAGGTTACGCCTTCTCCCATCCCCTCAGTCGCTGCCACTCCCCATGATCCTGCTGCCAGTCTCCCACCTCACTTAGGTTACCTGGCCAGCCTTGACATGAATTTAAGTCCACAGCCCTGTTTTAAATGGTAAGAGATAAAACAAGACTCTTGAATCAGTTTCCTCGTGGTCCTAAACACTGTGTTTCTGCAAAAATGCCAACGCCTTTTATTCCGACAACATCGCCATAATAATAAGGAAAATCAAAGTGTTTTAGTTTTTCTCAGAGGTTGAAAAGTACAAGACTTCCTGAGAGGCTTTCCAGCTTCAGGATTCTGATTTGTCTTCAAAGGTAGGAGAGGAACATGCATCACACCAATTGCTTCTAAATCAAAAACAGAAAAAGATGCCTCCGAAGATCCTTTGAGTTAGTTCTCAAGGAGAATTTACCTGCAACCTTTTCAGGGATGTAAGAATGTAGTTAAGACAGGACAAATATCTCAGCCAATATCATGAGCTTTGATGAAAAAAGAATGTTAAGTTTCGGGATTCCCTATCCTGGGGAATCTCTTTCTTGGAAATTATATTCTTCTATGTGCTGGCTATAACACAATCTCTAGCCCTGTTCCCTTAAGAAACATGTTTTTAGTTTTTGTTTGTTTGAAATCCTGGGGAATGAACCCAGTGGCACTCTACCACTAAGCTACAACCCTAGTCCTTTTTTTTTTTTTTTTTTTTGAGACAGGATCTTGCTAAATTGCCTAGAATGGCCTTGAATTATCAATCCTCCTACTTCAGCCTCCCGAGCAGCAGAGGTTATGAGTATATACCACCTGAAATCAGCATATTTTCTACCAAAAAGGCATCTTGTTTGGTTTATGCTTATCCAATCATACTTCAGAGACTTGTACCTGAAGAATCAAATGTGCCATGAATACAGAACTACAGCATAAAGAAGACTTGGGAGAGAATGGATGAATGAAGCAAGTCAAGCTAAATGTGAGAAAGAACAGTGCCGGAGATCCTACCAGTGGAAATACTACTGAACACACCCTGGCACCAAAACGTTGGGTGTTTCCATTCCTTCTCTCATTCCCACCTTAGAGCACGGGAACTCTGGCAAGGCCCCAGGGCAACAGAGAACTAAAAGAGGGAGCTGCACATTCCTAAGGGATAGGAAGGACGATGCCACCTCGTCAAGCGCCAAGGCTTTCCATGCATAGTCTGCGATCTTATCAGTCTTTACTTCTGTCCTTTTTGCACCCATTCCAGGTATTTATTAAGCTCTCAGATCACACCTAAAGAACCAAGTGAAGTATGGAGCACAGACCTGAGCAAAAGGCTGACAGCAGGTAAAAGAGGTGGCAACCCCCAGAGTCCCAAGTGTGGCCATTCTCAGACCTTCTCCCTCTTGGCCCCTTCTCTCTCCAGTGACTGCGGCCAGGAATGTTCAGAGCGATGCCTGCTACTGGGGGCACACATCCAGCCTGTTCCTCCCCTAAATACACACTCGCCCAGCAACTCAGACTTCATGCCTGAGAGACAGCTCTACAGACTGTTCAGACCTTAAGAAGTGGATTTGGCTTTTTCTTTCTTCAAACGACCGACACCAAAAAATACCCAGAGGACTCTGTCTGCAACAGTGATCATATGTGGCTTCATGGTGTGGTTACTCAGATTTTGGGTTGGGAGAGGAAGGGCAGAGAAAAATGGCCAGACAAAATACATGTATAACAGCCCGCTATTTCTACACAAATTCAACACTGCAAAGACTGAAATGTCTATATCATTTCCAAAGACGTTACCAACTGGCCATGTTTATATCTCATTAATATTATATATAGAAATACTTTCTTCCCATCAATAAAGAAAGAAAATTCTATTAGATATTTTTGGAGACAGGGATAACTGACATGGAAGGATATGTATCTTTATTTGCCCTTTTTTATAAAAGGGCATATATATCTTTTATTTGACTATGAAAAAAGAATAAGCACAGACTTCCATATCACAGAATTATAAAATGCACCATATAATTCTAAAAATGTAGATTCCGGTCGACTAAATCACACCTCTTTTCAATGTAAAAATTTCTCCACCTCATTCCAGTCTAATTTCAGGCTCTCTGCAAAGCTATAACATTTAGGAAAACTATAAATGTGTCAAAATCACATTTTTTTCCCTGAATTATCAATAACTACATGTCCCTCTCTCACAAGCAGACTAAGCTCAAATTATAAACATTTTAGCATTCAGTAATACATAATCTCATATGATCCTTCAATTCTTTCATCTATTTAAATATAATATCTTTTAATAATGAATTGTTTTTGAAAAAACCTTAAGGGAAGAAAATGGGATGGCCACCCTGGGGGGGAAGGATGCAAGGAAAAGGTGTCCTGAGAACTCTGTGTTCAGAGTAAACTCATCACACCTGCAGGCCTATGGGGGGTAGGGGGCACATCGACACACACACACACACACACACACACAGGCACACCGAGACACACACAGAGGCACACAGAGACACACACACACACAGAGGCACACCAACACACACACACACACACACACACACACAATCGGAAGACAAGAAAAAGGACCTTGATGGAGCAAAAAGAAGGAAGGTGGAGAACACAGGGAAGAGCGTCCCAGAGACCACAGACCACCACAGACCACAGACTGAGCCCTTCCCTGGTGTGTTACATGTGGGCAAGAACACCCGGGCCTCGATGCAGATGCAGGGCGGGCTCCCTCCCCACCTCCCCTCCTGGTTCCTCCTGGTAGTACTGGGTTTACAGCACTCAACTGTGCTGGGTTCACAGGACTAAGCCCCAGTACTATCAGGGTGGGTTTACAAAAACGGCTAGAGAATTTAGGCAGAGTTAGAAGCCAGGGACAAAGGGTAAGGGCTAAGTAAGCAGCTCAGTTCTCCAAGCCTGCAAGTTCCAACTTGGGAACCTGATCTCTGACCTGACGACGCCCCAGGGATCCAGTTCTACCTGTAGTTCCAAGGAGCTGTGAGGTCTTGAGCAAAACTCACTTGGAGAAGGAATTAGAACTAAGTCACCATTTCTTGGGTCTCTTATGGCTCAACCTGTTATTTTATGTACTTTATTGAAACTGTTACATGGTTGGGGAGGGGTCATTACACAGACATTCAAGAAGAATAAGAGCCTTTGTCCACAAATCTTCCACTGTAAATGAGAGATATCTGTATTCTTTTTACACTTCCCTTAAGAAATCCACAGCACAGCAATCAACTACCTCAACAGAATTCTGTGATGGTTGTGGCTTCCCATACACACCCCATTTCTTTCTTTTTTCTCTCCCGTGGGTTGAAAACCTCATTGTTTTACCATGCACATTGGATGCCCTGAGCTGGTGCGACTGAGGGCTGAAAAGCCTATTACTGTAAATGTGCTTACCACGTGCAATGCCATCTAGGGTGAAGACTCTTCAAATACTAGGACACCTGAAGAGAAGTGAACCTTGTGCCTTCAATTACAAATAATTGGGGGGGATTCATTTTGGGTCAAACTACCTCACACAACCTCTTCTTAGAGCCTAACGAAATCTT